GTTGTCCATCAAGTCCTCCCTTTACCCACATCAGCTCCCCTCTCTGAGTGTGATCCTCGTCCTGCTGCCTCAGTGTCCCTGACCTGACTGTTTGTCCGCATGTCTCATTTTACAACACCAACCAGTTTTTATACACGTTTTAAATTAGCTAACCTTTTGGATGTTATTCTGGGCTCTCCTGGAGCTGATTTACAGTTTCATTCTCCTTTTTGGTTCCGTCGTCCAGACCTCTGAATGCCATTGTCTGGCCCCCGCTGGTCAGCAACCCTCCCTCTGATCTCCACAGGCCTGTATCGATGTAAACTGGCAGCGAGGTCATGTTCTGGCCTCGCTCTCAAACATAACCTTTGTCAGAGTTAACTGAGCAAATTTACTTTTGACTTGAGCTCATTCAGACCCTAACACCACACTTACAGGCCCACAAAAAAATATGGACGGCGAGCATACAAGAAAACAATGTTTCTTTACATTGGGACTCTTAGGAGATTCTGAAGGTGTGCTTGTTAATCGGGGATGTTGAGGACCCGGGTCACCATCCATAACATAGACCAGGGGCAGTAAATGGATGAGGTGGGGCGAAAGGGCACCCTTAGACATTCCTTTAGAAAATAAACAGAACAAAAACCAGCTTCTCTGGACAGGTATTCTAAAGCAGATCTATCAACTTCAGCTGTTGCTGTTTTCAGGGTCGCTAAATATGCTTTAATGATGCGTCCGTAGACTCCCCAACAGAACATAAATTACATTTCTGTGGCACAAAAACTTAGAGCTTGGTCTCCAGCACAATCGTTGCAAGCTGGCTTCTTCCTCACATTTCAAAAGCCCAGTTGGGAATGAGTTTAATGCAATTAGCAGGTTATCTGTGGTGAAGTGGGGCTCTCTTCCTGTTTGGCCTGACAGAAGGGAGAGCTAGCTGTCTGTTGCGCCACAGAGGAAGACGCGGAAGAAGAGATAGGCAGATGTCCTGATAGAGGAAAACATCCGACTCTATTGTCTGCCTATTTTAGGCTTAATCTCAATGTGCCTCCAGCTTTACTCACTCTTTTCTTCAAGAAAGATTCCTTAAAATGAAGCGACCTCTGGCATCAGGCCACAAGCAAGTGTATTTAATGTTAGGCCTGCCTTTATGTTAGAGCCAGTGGTTTAATGAAAGGCAGCAGTAGGGGTCACTTCAGGCATCTGCAGCACGCAGCTGCCCATGCCGCTTTCCTTCTGTCCACTCAAACACACAAACCTGGGGGACACACACCCTTAAAGCATAAAACCGTGAGCACATGTCCACATTATAAACAGTGAGGCTGTGTGATTGAAATTCCTCTGAAGCACCACTTTGAGCCAGCATGGCTGAAAGAAGCTGTCAGGTTTTGTTATAACAGAAACTGGAATCTGAAAACGATAACTGGAGGAACTTTGTGAAACTAAAAAAGAGAGCAGAGTCCTGTCAGAGATACAAAAAATCACCAAGTAATAAAGTTATTGTTGGATTTTTATCAGTAAAGGCTGAGTTGCCATTTTGTGTATAAGTTGGAATTAACTTTTATCTATTAAAATAGCTTTTTGAACAACCTTGTTTTGGATAAAAAATGGGTTTATGGCTTATAAGATTGATGAGCTAACAGCTAGTTCAAACGCTGGCAAGACCAGTGTATTTCTGCCATCTTAAAACAACTCCAGTCTCCTAAATTTCACAATGAGTATTTGAACTATGTTTAATAAATAATTGCAACACTGGTAATTTACATTATGCAGTGATTTCCTTGGATTATATGGTCGTTTTCAGCAACAAAACGTGGCACTTTCGTTGTATCAAAGGGTCGAAGTTCAGCTGAAATTCACTTGAATAATCATTTCATCAATATTAACCACAGAATAAGTGTTTATGAAATGTTGTTGCACAAACTGCTGACGTTTATAAAATGTGAGCCATTTTTATATTCCAGCAACATCCTAGCTGTTAGCTCATCAATCCTGCAGGATGTAAACTATGGGAACTGAGACAGCTGTTAAAGCTATCTACAGTTGGTCAGATTGTGTAATGATTTAGAACTTTTACATCAAAATTATATCAAGAATTCTCAAAAAAAATCCCTTTAAATAAGATTTGAATCATCTCTTTGGTGCTCTTCTGCTTCCCTTTACCCCCTCATGATAATTTCTCCGCTCCCTAAGAAGCTGTCACACAGATCATCGGGATGATTAACGCCTTCCCTCACACCGGTGAGGACATCACTGATAACAGAGCCGTTACGGCTTCTTCTAGGGTGCTCCCGGTTGTTTTCACAAGGAACAACACCTTGTAGAGCTCCACTCATTCAGAGTCCGAAGAGGAGCCTCCACACAGATGTGGGGTGTCAGGACTATTTGTGTTATACATTCTCTACATTTCTCCGCGTTTCTGAAGAAAAGAACCTCTCTCTTTGTCAGTTTTGGTTAGCTTAGACTAATATATATTAGGGCTTGGATTCAAATAAACACAACACTACTTTTTTCCTCCTTTTCATCCTTCCTTGGTGTGGACGGAAAGACAATGCAGGAGTTGGGATGAAGAACTTTATTGGAACGCTGGGCTTCAGCGTGAGGGATTGAAGCTGCTAAACAAAGCATTCCTTTCCCTTTCATCACCATTTAACTGTTCCCTCCGCAATCAGTCCCACCTCCAGGCCAGTGCCCAGCCGAGCGGGGAACTTGTCAAATAAAAATAAATCAAAAGTGAAGGTTTATTCCGCACATTTACTGCTGGTTGCTTGGGAATTTGCACAAACAGCATTGACGAAAAAGTATGATCTGAGCCAAACGGACCTCACATTGGTGCTTCCTGCTGCGAAGACACAGGCAGCAGAGATAGAACGGCTTGTTGTCCCACAGCGATGTCGCCCGGAGGGCCATGTGGGCACAATGGTTGTCATGTCAGCTATGTGCAGCGGCTGCTTAAGAGTGCACTTAGCATCCTCTGTTTCCCCGTATCCAACATGTGGGGAGTGACATGATACTGTACAAAAGCCTGAACAGCATATAGCATTTCAAAGCAATTTTATAATTGTTTCCAGGCTCAAGGTCGCGGCTTATATGGAAGCAATCCCTTCTTTTAAACTTTTTTTTTAGGCTTTGTTTTCTACCACAGATTGAGAAACATTAAAGTGTTAAGTAAACTTGACCCAGGCGCTGCTAATTCATTGGGAAATAGCTGGGGTTTTATACATTTGGTGCCGTATCAGTGACAGTGACTCAGAGGATTTCCTCCTGCTTGGATGCTCGCCATATGTTGATGTGGCTTCTGTGGTTTCAGCCCTGAAACAGCCAGTCGCTGAATAATTACATTTGTTGTCTATGATGAGAACATGTTTGTGAAGGAAGGGGTGACAACAGAGTGGGTCTGACCTGAGGGCGAAGGTGGATGAGCTCCAGATGTATGGTGGACCTCTAAAAACACTTGGAAAAAAGAATGTGGGCTTCTTTCTTGATGACACTTTTAGGAGATCCGGTAGAAAAATAACTTCCTACTAGCTTTTCTGTCCTTCATATAACAACGATGGAAAAAAGGCATCCTGTTCTTTTGGGTTGGTGGTGCCAAACGGGCTGGTCTGTGTTTCAGAACTGAGCTACTAGGATTTTAATCTGTAATTTATAGAGTGTGGTCTGGGAAAAAAAGGAAATATTCAATATACAGCAGATGTCTTGTTGAGGTGAGAGGAGACTGGTCAGATGATAGAAAAACAACAGCAGCACAGATAACTACTGGTTCCTACCAAAGTCTGCTAGACCAGAACACCTGGCTCCAGCAGCAGAAGACCACACCAGGTGTGTATCCTGTTAGCTACAGAAAACTGAGGCTACAATTCACACGATCAGCAGAACTGGACCAGAAGAGACTGGAAACCCGTTCCTGGTCTGATGAGTCTGGATTTAAGATGAAACACTCAGATGGTCGGGTCAGAATTTGGTGTCAACAACATTAAAGCATGAATCCATCCTGCCTTTTGTATTAATGCTTCAGACTGCTGCTGGTGAGGGATGATGGTGTGAGGAGATATTCTTGTCCCACTTTGGACCCCCTAGCATCATCTGAGCCTGGTTTAAGCACCACAGCCTATTCCATCTCTTTACGACCACATGGACCCATCTACTAATGGCTACTTCCAGCAGGATAAAGCACCATGTCACAAAGCTCAGATCATCTGGTTTCTAGAACATGATCATGAGTTCCCTGGACTCCAACAACCTCCACAGTCACCAGATCTGAGTCCAGCTCAGAACCCTTTGAGATGTGGTAGAATGGGGGAGATTCCCATCATGGATGGAGCTGATGAACCAGAACGTCTAAAGAAGGTTTCAGATGTTTATTTGAATCTATGGCATGAAGGATTAAGATTGTTCTGAAGGCAAAATGGGTCTGACCTTCTGCTATGAAGTCATCTGATAAAGTGGCTGATTAGACAACAATTTAGGGATTTTTATGATTTGAAATAACCACAAAATTACATTAATCATCAGAAGCTCCAGACTTTGTTTGGATTTTTATTTGTACAACAATGGTGTGGATTAGTATCCAATAATAAATGTATATAAATGATCTTATATATCATTGTAAAAAGCTCTTTACTCTAACTGAATGCACCTCAAACTCAGATCCTATATGCATTTATGAGGTAGACATCAATAATGGTATCTTCCACCCTCTACAAAAATACAAAAAATAATGGAGACGCTTTAAATTACTCTCATCAACGTGAGCAATAAATGATTATCATGGACCTTCTGTACATCACAAATAATAAAATAATTATAGAGTAGACAATATACAGATTTGAGTGCATTTTTTGTATATTTACAAGGAAATGCTGTTTGTTCATTTCGTTGCACTTTGTAAAGTTTTAAAATGTACAAATATTTACAGCTCAACAATAATAATGAACAGCAGTGCATTCAAAGCTAATGTGCATTTAAATATCCTCTCGAGTTTTTTTAATTCATTTTTCATATTTCCATCGTCAGAGAAACACCCCCCCCCCCCCCCCACACACACACACACACACACACACACACACACACACACACACACCTCCCCTCTCTCTGACGTCCGGTTGCAGAAGTGCATTTTGTAAAGACTCGGACGTTTGAGCTCCAACTGCTGGCCCCAGTTCTGTGCTTTTCTGTTTCCATTAAGGCACAAGTCCTGTACTCTGTGTCTCTCAGCGCCTCTGCTCTCAGGTAGGCAGAAGTCAAATCTCTTGAAGGCATTTCCATCTTCTCCCCTTAATCTGGTGGATCAATCGTTCAGCCCTTGTGTTCGTGCATCTGTGTGGGAACACGGGCCCTGATTCGGGCCTGCTGTGGCCCCAGCTGTGGGAATCAGACCAGAGCGCAGCTGCTGTCCTCACAGCAGCAGGTTACCCTCCGACCTGCAGCCTGCTCCTCGTGTCAGACCGGACTGGGCTCGTCTGTTCGGTGATAACTGGAGGGAAATCGCTCTAAAGCGGATGAGTGGACGTGAGAAAGTCTGAATAAATAGATAGAGCCTCCTGCGCATCCGTTTTGGATTCAAAACCAAGGCGCGTAAAGCTCAGCAGACCTCCGTGAGGATTGTTTTTATCTTCAGCCCAACCGGACTCTACGTTTACACCGATTTGTCTTTTGTTTCTGTGTGGATGTGTGTGTGAGAGAGTGTGACGCCCGCTACCTGCAGCCGCACTGCTCCACCACCATCTCCTCGTACTGTTTGTACACCACGTTGTTACCCGAGTCCGTGTAGAGGATGCTGATGGGGCTGAGCTTGGTAGGCACGCAGCAGCTCGGAGGGGTACTGTAGGGGTCCATGGAGTTCATGAGAGTCTGGATGATGGCGTGGTTGGTCGGCTCCAGGTGCGACCTGAGCGGGAAGTCGCACACGCCCTCGCAGTGGTACGCCTCGTAGCCCAGCGGCGCGATGATCCAGTCGTCCCAGCCCAACTCCTTGAAGTTCACGTGCAGCGGCTTTTTGCTGCACCGGGACCTGGATTTCTTTCCGTGTCTCTTTCCGTGCCGGTTGCTCAGCGCCGTCCTCCTCCGCCGCCGGGGCCCCTCTCCTTTAAACCCCCTGGTGCGCGGCTTCTCCTCCTTTTCACCGACCGACCTCCGCGACTTGATCTTCTCCTTCATCTCATTGAACAGGTTCTCCCTCTTTTTGGAGCGGGTGTAGGCCACAAGGATGGCCTTCTCCTGCTGGGTTCGGCCGCTCCGGTCCAGCCCCAGCTGCCTCAGGTCCACCTCGGTCTGACCCTGAGTGACCCTGAGCTGGAAGCAGAGATGGCGCTGCTGCTGATGATAGTGATGTTGCCGATGTGCTTTAAACGCGTCCCATACATCCAGAACCTCCCAGCCGGATGTGGCGGAATCCATTGGGTCCAGAGACCTGGAATTCAGCTGTCTGTCAGAGCGGCAGGGGTAGAGCTGGATGTCATAGATCCCCGACTTTTGCGCATTCCCTTGCGCCTTCCTGAAAATCCGCAGTTCCGCCCCGACCAGCTCCTCTTTCTCTGAAAGGGTTGAGACATCAAACAGATACTTTTGTCTTCGCAGAGGAGAGTGCAAAAGATTGTCTGCAATGATAAAAGAAGAAAATAATTGCAGTCAGATTCGGTTAGGGTGTACAGTGTTCAGGGAGCCCGAGAGGGGGAGGAGGGGGAGTCACATTCTCCCACAGAGGCCTTCTCTCTCTCTCTCTCTCTCCCTCTCTCAAATGCCCACCCTAAACCTGAAGCAAACCACAACTGACAAGTTGTTCCGTTTGGAGTAACTGATGAATGTTTCCCTCTAAACTCTTAAATAAAGTTCGAATTATAAATTAAAAAGTATTTTTTCAATTACATATGATATAAAACTGATTTCATGCAGGAAAAAAAGAACTGTTGAGTTTTATCCCAGCAGTTTTGTGCAAAATGTACCTTTGCTAAGACTTTTTCCCACATGAACATTTTGGAACACTATTCTTGTATAATTTGGCCATCCTCAAAGAAAAAACCCGTGCCTATTTGAATCAGAGCAGCGCGTCTGACTGAACACGGTGCTGACAGGCTGATTATTAATTTCCACTTCTTTGGCTGAGCAGAAACAAACGTTTCCTTCTATGTAGACAGAAACTTCTAGATCTGAGCAGCAGCCGGAATTGGAAAAAAAGACTGCTTTTTTATGATAACTTTTGCAGAGCTCTGGGGTCCCAAAAAGAAAAGAAAAACAAGAGGCCTATAGTGAAAGGTTCGGCCGGACACAACGGACCAAAGGCGACATGTACAGTCTCCCGAACAATACACAATCCATTCATTATTCTCTGCTGGAGACCCAAAGGCCTGAAAATGTCTCACCCATAAAGCGCACGGGGACAGACACCGGTCCCCGATCACCACAAATTTAAATAAAATAAAAAAGCAAACGAGTCTCAGAAAGCACGTGATCATGTTTAGTTGTATTTACAATAAATGTATGGAGAAAACAGTCATCCTTCTTCCTCTCGAGTTTTTGAAAGTTTGTACAGAGAAGCTTGGGAGAAAATGAGGTGAAAACAGCAATATTAATAGCTGGAAGTTTAAAAAATAATTATTTTATCTTTACGGGAAGAATGTTTTTTTTTTCACTTTTTTCAAAAGTCTGAAAGCCCATCAAATATGTCAACCACGTGCCACTGTATCAAACATTAACAAAGAAATGACTGAATGGATGAATGAATGAATGAATGAATGAATAAATAAATAAATAAATAAATAAATAAATAAATAAATAAATAAATAAATAAATAAATAAATAGTGGGTTTTTATTCAATATTTTTGTGCACGCATAGGCTACGTAGTTTTCTCTGGTCCCTTGTATTCAGTCAGAAGTTGTTTTAATTAAAGTGACTAGGAAACACCCCTGTGACATAATTTCTGGGGGGAAAGTTTTTTTTATTTTTTTTATCTGGCTGTCAGATTCCCTCTGAGTCCAACAGTAAAACTAGATTGGAACCTTGTGCTTCTTTTCAGCGACTTTGCGCGTCTGGTTTGCATTACTTTTCCTTCATAAGCCCTCACACAAGTCGAATACATGTTCGCCAAATAATTAACAGTTCTCTGCTCCCATTCTCCTCATTAAAACACTTCCCCGCTTATATTTCAGCTCGTTCTGCCAACGACAACATTCCCTTTGAAATTAACGTGTGGGCACAGAGTGGTGTTTTCATTCCATTTAAAATGAAGTTGTTTTAAATGTTTAAAGGAAAATACGAATGTTAGTTCACAGCGTGTTTAAGGTACTTGTTTGCTTCATGAACAATTCACGCACTTATCTTTAGGAACAAAAACAAAAGTTTTTAGATTGTGTTTAGTTTCAGTCTGAGTTTTAATCAGTGACACAAGTGGCAACAATCGGACCAAAATCGTGTGGGTGAACAATGCGCAGCTAATGCAAAACACGCAAAACTTGTAACATTGCGCATCTAAAATCCCGCTTCTTGTCCCTGTGGTGATTTTAAATCTGACGTTCGTTCTGCACGTTTTAGTGCAACACAAACTTTTAACGTCGCTGAGAGGAATCCCAGATGGCACGGGGGCAGAATGAAGGGGAGGAAAAAATATTTCCCGTTATTAAAGCGGCGCTAAATGGAGGCTCCGCATTAAAACAAACAACAACAAAAAGATACAAGCGACTTCACGGATAAGAGAAGGTGCGTTTTCTTTTCCTTTTCCTTCTTCCCTTGTCGTTTTCTGGGGATGTGCCCATCGTAGCCGAGCTGGGTCATTACGGGAGAATAGACAGTATTTGATATGTTATGACATGAGCACTCAATTAGATCACCGAGTTCAAATAGTTCTGTCATCCGTTCGATGCCAAGCAGCCCTCAGAAGGGTCCAGCTCGGGGTCAGAGCCGGTGACACATCACATCAAATCACAAGAGCGGGCTGGACGTTTACAGGAACCCTCACCCCAAAACCCAGTTAAAGCGAGAGACCGTCTTCCCAAAGCTGATTTTAGTCCAAGAGTTTAGCTTTGTTCATTCATTTTTTTATTTTAAAACCCAATAAAAACAATAATCCAAAACACGAATCTGCAAATTACTAGACTGTGATTTTTACGAGCGTTTAAAAACCAAACAATAGATTTATGGCTCCCTTATGAATTAACTAACCTCCGGTGTGTGTGTGTGTGTGTGTGTGTGTGTGTGTGTGTGTGTGTGTGTGTGTGTGTGTGTGTGTGTGTGTGTGTGTGTGTGTGTGTGTGTGTGTGTGTGTGTGTGTGTGTGTGTGTGTGTGTGTGTGTGTGTGTGTGTGTTTATTCTCGCTCCAATCACTTGGTTACACATGTTAACTGACCCAAACACCTGCTTCTCACACCGACCCGCTCTGCCCCCCGGCTCCCTTTGTCAGCACAAGCTGTCCAAGCCCCGTTCGCCACGATGACAACAGCTTGAATGTTTTAAAAAGTGATGGATTTAGAGTGGGGGTAGTTCAGAGCCTAAACCTATATTTATGAGAATTTTGAAATTAGTTCAAATAAAATGTCACATAAAAAAACAACGTTGAGAAAACGGTTTCATTTTTAGTCTTTTTCTGCTCTAAGTGTTTTACAGCCTTCATTTAGAAATCGCCTCAATTAGTGTGTAACTGTCGTCTCGCCCTGCGGGTTAATTTAAGCGTAATATAACTTACTATTTCCATTTTTTCCAACTGCTAACTGAAACCTTCACATTTAAGCTGAAACAAACTGCGCGTCTTTGGTTCGATTTTGAGCGCTTAAAAGTGCGTCTGCACGCCTGTTTTCCTCTCTTAAAGGCGTGCGTAAAAGCCCAGCGCGCTGCTCTGTTTTTAATGATTTGCTGGCAAACTTCTGATGAGAGGAAAATGTCAGGAAAACGCTGAGCCAAAGAATTGTGCAAGACTGAAGTCATGTAGTTTCATGCAGCAGCCGGACACCAACCTGTTCCTCTGTCCACAAAACTCGTTATGGTGTTTGCAGATTTAGAGGAGCGGAAAAAGCTTGCGTTTAGTCCCAGTTTCTCCGCTGCGGAGTACGTCCTGTATATGGAGAGCATGTATTCATGCGGCACAATCGCGTCCTTTGGCTCGTGTTTGTGATGTCCTGCTGCAGGCTGCAAATACGTCAATATGTCTTTTAGAAATTTGGATGACCTTTGCGCGCCCGGATGGGAGATCCTGGCTTCCCTGTTCCTCCTCGGTACAGAGGGAGAGATACGAGCAGCAGACTGGAAACACGGAATATTCCCAAAGAAAACAAGGAGCAGGCCCAGATAAATCGCAACGACTCGAGATGCGTCCATGGCTGGAAGATGGCAAGAAGCTTTTCGTTTTCCCCCCTCTTTCGCTCTCTCTCTCTCTCTCTCTCTCTCTCTCTCTCTCTCTCTCTCTCTCTCTCTCTCTCTCTCTCTCTCTCTCTCTCTCTCTCGCTCTCTCGCTCTCTCTCTCTCTCTGAGCGTGTGCGCGTCTCTCTCCCAGTTAAGTCTGATTTGTGGGTCCACCAGAGCCGGAGATGATGCGCGCGTCGGAGTCGGAGAGCTCCTGCTTTTGCGCTCTCGGGTCCCACCAGAAGAAGTGCGATTTTTGCTCTGGACTCTTCATAAGAGCAGAGACTGTTGGGCAGAGAGAAACACGCCCACTTGGTGGCCTAATGCAGGGCTTCAAACTAATTCATGTCACAGATCTGCAAACAGACGCGCGCTGCGGCCACCGGACCGTCGAGGGAGCCTGGAACAGCGCGCTTCATGCGGAGCAGCAAACTGCTCGAGCATCTCTACAAACAGATTATATTCTGAGAATCCATTGAGAGTAAAATGCAAAGTGTTCCTTCCGGTTTAAACTGAAACTACGCGTCTTATCTGCAAAATCACGATCGAGCAGAAATTAGGTGCAAGTGCACAGACATTCCAAAACAGAGTTCTCCTGATCAGCAAGGCTGTCCGGCCCTGACAGATCTGATCACACCAGATAAGAGTTTACGTTTTAAAAAATCAATAAATGTAACTACACTGATGTTTAACTTAACCCATTTGTAAATAAATTCAGAAATAGCCTAGAATCACACAGGTCAGATGTTAGTTTGGACCTGAACAGAACAGACAGAAGCTTAAATGAACGCTTCTGGGTTCAAATGGTTGGATCATAAATGAGCTCATGAAGGGAATCTGGACTGGACGTGAACGACTCTACTGACCTCTAGGGGTATTTATTAGCTGGTACACCAGAATTAAAGAGCTTGTGGAAAATGGTGTGTTCCCGTCACTAATCAAGTCGTGACGTCAGAGACACCGTTTGTTGTATTACACCAGAGTAAAGTTTGTTCCAACAGCTTTTGAATAATTCTTTCCATATTAATCTAATTTATACTTTTGTTTGTTTGACTATAGCCTCATATATCAATGTATGTCCATTTGTTTTAACAAAAGTGAAAATGTAAAATCAAATCTGTTGTATTTTATTAATTTAATTTGATCAAAAGATTCTTTTCTCTTTTGTTCTCTATTCTTTATTTTCCATGTTCCAGATGTTTCGGATCACTTGTCCTTTTGTGTTGTTCACATTTCTGCTCCCACTGATGTTCTCTGCTCATCACTCTCAGTACTTCATCTCTTCTTCAGTCAAGATAGCCTTTTCTGTCAGTGAACTGAAAAATAATTTGTCTTCTTTACAGATTTATTTAGTTTTTCCTTTTTGTCCCCCTTGAATGGTTCAGAGCAGAAAACATATCTGGTCCCATGCCAGCAACAAATTGCTTCCCTTGTTAAACTGATTACACCAAATCTGTAGAATTAAGAACTCGCTTCAATTGAAGCTGACTAAAAGATCTCAAAAAGCAACATAGCACCAAAGAAATCCAAGGACTAGAGAATGCAGAACAACATCCATAGCACTGCAGGCCTCATGGAGGAAAAAACGGCATAATGAGAGTTCCCATGGTCAAAAAGATGGTGATGATGATGATGATGATGGTGGTGATGATGATGATGATGATGATGATGATGATGATGATGATGATGACAGTGATGGGGATGACAGTGATGATGATGATGGTGGCGAAGGTAGTGTTGATGATGATGACGATGATGACGTGATGGTGGTGGTGATGATGATGATGGCGATGATGATGATGATGGTGGTGGTGATGATGATGATGGCGATGATGATGATGATGGTGGTGGTGATAATGATGATGATGAGGAGGAGGATGACGGTGATGAGGATGACAGTGATGATGATGATGGTGGTGCTGATGATGAGGAGGAGGAGGAGGAGGATGACGGTGATGAGGATGACAGTGATGATGATGAAGGTGGTGGTGATGATGATGATGATGGTGGTGCTGATGATGAGGAGGAGGAGGAGGAGGATGACGGTGATGAGGATGACAGTGATGATGATGAAGGTGGTGGTGATGATGATGATGATGAGGAGGAGGAGGACGGTGATGAGGATGACAGTGGTGATGATGATGATGATGATGATGATGATGATGATGACGACAGTGATGGGGATGACAGTGATGATGATGATGATGGTGGCGAAGGTAGTGATGACGATGATGACGGTGATGGTGGTGGTGATGATGATGATGGTGATGATGATGATGATGATGGTGGTGGTGATGATGATGGCGATGATGATGATGATGATGGTGGTGGTGATGATGATGATGATGAGGAGGAGGAGGATTACGGTGATGAGGATGACAGTGATGATGATGATGATGGTGGTGGTGATGATGATGAGGAGGAGGAGGAGGAGGACGGCTCAGATGGTGGGGGAGGATGCTGGTCAGACCAGGCAGGTCCAAACATATCGTGAGGGTCTGCTGGGAACGTCTGGCAGAGTCTCCTGTCAAACCGGGGGAGGCGGGGGACATTGAGTCTGAATGGACCCTGTTCCGTGCCTCCATTGTTGAGGCGGCCGACCGGAGCTGTGGTCGCAGGATCGTCGGTGCTTGTCGTGGCGGCAACCCCCGAACCCGCTGGTGGACACCGGCGGTAAGGGATGCTGTCAAGCTGAAGAAAGAGGTATTTCTGGCCTGTGGGACTCCAGAGGCAGCTGACGGGTACCGGCAGTCCAAGCGGAACGCGACTTGGGCGGTCGCCAAGGCAAAAACCCAGGCATGGGAGGAGTTCAGTGAGACCATGGAGCAAGACTTCCCTACGGCTTCGATGAGATTCTGGTCCACCATCCAGTGCCCTGGGGGGGGGGGGGGAGCAGTGCGCTACCAACGCTATCTATAGTGGGGACGGTGTGCTGCTGACCTCTACTCAGGACTTTGTGGATCGGTGGGCAGAATACTTCGAAGACCTCCTCAATGCCACCGACATGTCTTCCAGTGAGGAAGCAGAGTCTGGAGACTTTGGGTTGGCCTCTCAAATCTCTGGTGCTGAGGTCACTGAGGTGGTTAAAAAGCTCCTCTGTGGCAAGGCTCCAGGGGTGGATGAGATCCGCCCGAAGTTCCTTAAGGCTCTGGATGTTGTGGGGCTGTGTTGGCTGACGCGGATCTGCAATATCACGTGGACATCGGGGGCAGTCCCACTGGACTGGCAGACCGGGGTGGTGGTCCCCTTATTTAAAAAGGGGGACCGCAGGGTGTGTTCCAGCTACAGGGGAATCACACTCCTGAGCCTTCCTGGTAAGGTCTATTCAGGGGTTCTGGAGAGGAGGGTCCATTGGATTGTTGAACCTCAGATTCAGGAGGAGCAATGTGGTTTTCGTCCTGGCTGTGGAACACTGGACCAGCTCTATATTCTTAGGGTGATCCGGGAGGGTGCATGGGAATTTGCCCAACCATTCTACATGTGTTTTGTGGATTTGGAGAAGGCGTTTGTCCGCGTCCCTCGGGGGGCCCTGTGGGGGGTACTCCGGGAGTATGGGGTACCAGGCCCTCTGATACGGGCTATTAGGTCCCTGTATGACCGGTGTCAGAGCTTGGTCCGCATTGCCGGCAGTAAGTCGGGCTCGTTCCCAGTGAGGGTTGGACTTCGCCAAGGCTGCCCTTTGTCACCGATTCTGTTCATAACCTTTATGGACAGGATTTCTAGGCACAGCCAAGGTGTGGAGGGCATCCGTTTTGGTGGCCTGAGGATCAGGTCTCTGCTTTTTGCAGATGATGTGGTCCTGTTGGTTTCATCAGAACATGATCTTCAGCTTTCGCTGGAGTGGTTCGCAGCCGAGTGTGAAGCAGCAGGGATGAGAATCAGCTCCTCTAAATCGGAGACCATGGTCTTGATTCGGAAAAGGGTAGAATGCCTTCTCCGGGTCAGGGATGAGATCCTGCCACAAGTGGAGGAGTTTAAGTATCTTGGGGTCTTGTTCACGAGTGAGGGAAAACTGGAGCGTGAGATCAATAGGTGGATTGGTGCTGCATCTGCAGTGATGCGGGCGTTGTACCGGTCTGTCGTGGTGAAGAGAGAGCTGAGTCAGAAGGCAAAGCTCTCGATTTACCGGTCGATCTACGTTCCTACCCTCACCTATGGTCATGAATTTTGGGTAGTGACAGAAAGAACGAGATCGCGGATACAAGCTGCCAAAATGAGTTTTCTCCAAAGAGTGGTTGCACTCTCCCTTAGAGATATGGTGAGAAGCTTGGTCATTTGGGAGGGGCTCGGAGTAGACCCGCTGCTCCTCCACATCGAGAGGAGTCAGTTGAGGTGGCTCGGGCACCTGGTCAGGATGCCTCCTGGACGCCTCCCTGGTGAGGTTTTAGGGGCACGTCCAACCGGGAGGAGACCTAAAGGTAGACCCAGGACACGGTGGAGGGACTATGTCTCTCACCTGGCCAGGGAACGCCTTGGGATTCCCTGGAGGAACTGGCCCAAGGCTGGGGACTTCCCTCTCCCCAGGCTTGGGCCAGCTCCTCCAGGGCCTCTCGCTTTAGGCTACTGCCCCCGCGACCCGACTCCGGATAAGTGGATGAAAATGGATGGATGGATGGATGGATGGATATCTAAATCTGAGTTACATTACATTTCAATCTGTTACAGGGTGGGTATGCTTTCAGACAGGCACTTAAGAGTTATTTGCTGGAAGCTTCCTGAGTAACTGTAATACTTCTAATACTTCTTTTTGATTTCTATTGACAAAAGGCTCATGTGACCAAAGCTCTTATGTGAAAGCATGAACACCACAGTGAAGCAGCATCAGCAGCATTATGGTGTCAGGTTCCTGGTTTTGTGATTTAGGATCAGTTCTGATCTGTTTGGAGGATTATTTTGTTTCATGTAAACAGGTATTAAGCTGGCTTCTGATTTGTCCAACATGGACCATAAAACAATAGTCACATGGAACTAAAATTTAGTTCCTGCCAAGATGCTGATTGGGTACCTCTTGTAAGATCCAGCAAATCCTACAATTGAACACTTTTAGCAGCGTAGAATTGCCTTTTTCAACTCTTATTTATTTTTACCTGCAAAGCTGCATCAGTTGCAAAATGACTCTCCAGCTTCCGCCAGTCACCCAGGGATGTGTCTCACTGACCAGCCGTGCAGATTCCAGGGGCCTACGACCTTTGAACTCCAACAAGTCTAACAACTCACCATCCGTACTTGGCTGACATCGCTGCCAGAAGGATCTCCCGAGAAATCCCATCACATTGGTAACGGAGGCTCTTCAAACTTGTGTTGGATGGGTAAAGATAAATTTGATAGCTAATTAAACATTCCCATATTCAGCCAGATTATTTTATAAAGCCAGACATCACAATAATTAGACTTTTAATAACATCATAGATCATCTTTCATCAGAGTTTGATCATTATCTCAGTTGATAAATAATAATGTATAACCATTTATCCTGTATGATCATTAGTCATAGAAATATAGTATTACATTAGTTTTTATAAACTATATATTTGTCTCTGTGCCAAAGTATTGATGAGTGGTGGTTCCCTGGCATACCCAAATTACCTATTTTCATCATCAATTGAATATTAAAGGTTCGATAATATTTATAATCCATGATTTATGGAATTTTACATTTTATTGAATACCTTTATATTTTATTGACAATTTATCAAAAGTAACCACTTACAAAACATTACAGCTGTTACTCTTAATTTATAAGGTGAGTTCTCTCTGTACCGTTAGCCCAATCCCAGTACTTGCCTTGCGGTCTTCAGCAAAGTGCACTTGGAGAAAGTGTGCAGTAAGGCTTCAAGTGCATGGTTCACAAGTGTGCAAATAATGACCAAATTGAGACAGGGAGCATTGTGTCATCGATCGCAATGCATGCCGGGATGCTGAACGCTGTGATACTTTTTTCAACAACCTTTATTAACAACTTTCAAACAAAAAACCAAACAGTTATTTGAAATAAATTTTAATTCATTGCAGCTTTGTCTAAAACAGCCAGAGCATCAACCAATCATCCTAAAACTAATTTCATCAGAAGATTCATATTTTCAGAAAATGAACTTGTGCCTTTTCTCTAGCAGTTTGGGGGGGGGGGGGGGGGGAATCCCCTTAGATCATCCAAAAACCATGTCACAATCACAGAAATTTTAATTATCATCCTTTCCATTCTGATACTGGTTTGAACTTTAAAAAGTCGTCTTTGCCCCATCCAGGTGCCTACTGGTTCAAGTTCAGTACAATTCAAGTGTATTTATATAGCGCCAAATCACAACAAGAGTCGTCTCAAGGCACTTCACATAATAAACATTCCAATTCAGGTCAGTTCATTAAGCCAATCAGAAAAAACGTTTCCTATATAAGGAACCCAGCATCAAGTCCGTATGTACAGTCTATGATCAAGTCACTGACTAGTCTCAGTGTCCTTACAGCAATCCTCATACTAAGCAAGCATTTAGCGACAGTGGAGAGGAAAACTCCCTTTTAACTGGAAGAAACCTCCAGAGGATCCTGGATCAGTATAAGCAGCCATCTACCACGACTCACTGGGGATCGAGAAGACGGAGCACACACACACACACACACACACACACACACACACACACACACACACACACACACACACACACACACACACACACACACACACACACACAACATATATATCAAGTAATGTTTCTATAGTTACATTGTGATTTGTTAGTAAATATTCTATGTGGTGAGAGATAAACTGGTGTAATTTGGTTATTAGAATGTGTTGTTAACAAGCTATTGGACACTAATAAAGTGACCTGTGAGGGTTTTATACATTTATGAATAATGACTTACACTTGTATAGCACCTGTCATATGACCCCAAAGTGCTTTACACAGTGAATCATTCATCCATTCACACACTGGTTTTGATGAGCTACTGTGTAGCCACAGCTGCCCTGGGGCGCACTGACAGAGGCCAGGGACCAGAGCTGGGATCGAACATGCAATCTTCCGATAACTGCAAATCCTGAGCTACTGTTTACCTTTTCAGTAAATATTACTGTTTATTACATAAATATTTTAAGTGCTTTTGGATAAAATGTTCTGCCCTTTCATGTTATTCTACATTTGGACAGCTGGGGGCGAATGGGTTCTCGCGGGTTCTCCTTCATGACAGGCTCGGTCTCCGTACTTCCGGTAGATTTCCAGCACGCGACAGTGTTTCAGCACCATGGAGAGCGGAGTTCTACAGGCGCTTTCCTGTTTGTGTTGATATAGAACATAAAGCTTTATGTACATTTTAACTCAAGACTAATAGACCAATAATGTGACTTTAATGATACAGAAATCTGCGTCCTGCGTCACGGATGGACCAAATCTTATAAATGACATCAGATACTGAACAAAAACCAGATTTAAGTTCTTAGTTTATATTTATGACTAATTCTGCAGATACGGGATTGTTATACGTAGAAAATAATAAAATTAAACATGTTTATCCATCAAACGGTTCCAGTTGTTAAGTAACGCGTTATGTAACCCGGTTGGGAAGGCTGGGACATCTTGTGCGAGCCGTGAGTGGTCCTGATTCTCGTCGTAAAGTCTCGTCAGTCTGTTTCCAGCTCTCCTCCGCCCTCCATCCTCTCCGGGCAGAGCGGAGCGGAGGCTGGCACCGTCAGCACGCCAACGAGCCTTTGTGCCTCAGCAGCTGTCTCGCACCCTTTCCGACTGAAATCAACAACTTCAGACATTTTGGTAGGTGTTTTACATCATTACTGCTCCATGGGCAACAGTGAACCTTTCCAAAAAAAGCAGCTGTGTTATGTGTAAGTTCTGTAATAAAACCATTTTAATTGTGCGATTTTTAGTGTATTTTATTATGAGTTGAATCTGCCGGATATATTTTTGTCTCATCGGTGTTGAAGTTGGTTGTTTACTCTTTTACATCGCAGTTTTTTTCTGGGTGCATCCTCAAGTAAACATGTCCACTAACAGTGGGGGCGCCATATGAAACAAAACACAATCTAATTTCTGCATTTAGCGAGTTATCCAGCCGTTTTATCGCAACGTGTCTTTTTTCTTTGGATATATTTGAGGAAGCCTCTCCTTCACCCTGTTCTCTCTTCACAAATGCTGGTTTCAGATTGCCTCGTGCTGAAAGTGAAAGTGAACACATGAGATCACTCAGCGATGATGATGCATTCTGTAGCTGATAAAAACAACAAAATATCCCACAGCCCACAGGAGAGAGTTAGACCGTTCTATTTTTATTATAGGGCCACATTTAATGACAGTCTTAGACATGAAACACAAACAAACGCTCACAAGGTCCAAAACTGCAACGACCAATCAGCTTCTGCCTTTTCTCAAAAGGCATAATAATCAGATCTGCTGTAAACAGAACATTTTGCTGCATCACGCTGTTAATGTCGAAATGGAACAAACAGCTTTACATTACAGTGATCAGCGTTATAAAACACACTCTGGGGATTATGAGAATTATGACTGGTGCCCACACGCTGCTGTTTTAAAAGTAGACCATCTGGATGAGAGGAAGAGCTCCAGTGAAAGGCTTAAAGACTTGTTTACCAGCAGGTGACCAGTGGCTTTTACCAGTTCTTCCTGTGTTTTTGTTTCATAAATCACTGACCTCTCAGAGAGGCTAAGACTTGTTCAGCTGCTGAAAATCCTGTTTTTCTCAACAGGTTTAGCCTTGGTATGACATTTGTCTGGAGCCACATAGATCCAAGAATTTAGAAGAGTTGTTGGTTCTTGCATTTTAGATACTCATGGTGATAACTTTTCTTACAATTACAGATTAAACGGCTTGATGCTAATCTAAAAAGGTGCAATTTTGTTTCAAAAACAGAAAAAACTGGCCAACAGGAATTAACAGGAAATACCTGTTAAAGTTTGACTAATGAGGGTCAAACGCTGAAACCTTTTTGCCTTGCCTAATTAAAAAATTAAAATTTTTTATTGTTATTTTCTTTTGGCAGTTGCCAAGTCTCAGGTATTATGGGGACATTATTAAAACAACACAAACTATTCCAGGGGTGGGCAATCCTGGTCCTTTAGGGCCGTTCTTGAACACACCTGATTCCTGGATGAATCACCTGCTCAGCTGCTCATCAGGCTCTAATAAGAGTCACAAGTTCACAGTTTTCCAAACTAAAGTCACCCAAATTCTTGTTAAATCTAATTGTCATACTTATATTTACTATTGTGGTGTTTTTTTTTTATTGTTTTTACATTTAAGATAAGATTTTGTGTTTTGTGTTCTACACATTTGCATTCATTAAAGGTTTTAGAAGATAAGTGCAATTAAAGAAAACATTAAAATTATGCAAATAAGACCGACAGCACTGACACATTTTGCTCAGCAGATACTTGTTGTTCCTAGAACAGAATGTTCTCTCAGCAGGGATGAACGGAAACGCAGCCCCAACCTCGCAGCACGTTCTATAAACGTGGTCAGACACAAACCACATCTCAGGATGAGACACACACGGCACTTTGTGCAGATGTAAACATCATTTTGTTCATCCTGCTTGAATCGTGCATGCAGCTTCTTCCCTCGGTTGCTAAGAGCGTTGCTAGGGCAGAGCTGTTGTTGCTCTGCCTCAGTGTGTATTATCACACTCTGTCATGTTACCATGTGCCAGACTGGTGAAGGTAGAATCTTTTTAAACTTAAACTGTACAGGTGGTGTAAGCAATCTAAATTGGTCTCTGAAAACGAGGTGATGTCTGATTCCCTTGACACTATGACCCATTTCTGCTATTCTCCCTGGAGATTAGTGCCTGTAAAAAGAGGAATTGGCTTCATTCTCATGAAGGGATATTAGGTTATGTCGTCAGGACATCAAATAGTCTCGTTTCAGTTTGCAGGAAGCCAGAAGACTAAGGCAGAACTGAGCTGAGCAATGCCAGAATAAATCCAAACACTGTGTGAATGACAGGAAACAGGATGGGATTCATTGATGCACCAACAGCGTGCAGACCTGGGGGGTCTATGATATCATTCTTCATAAACCTATTATAAAAAACATGTATGCACTTACGCAACTGGCCTTCTTATGCAATCATCAGGAGAAAAGAAGTGAAGTGATTGTATGAAGTTTATCCGAGCATGACAGAATATCTGCATTATTTACTTCTGCACCATCAATAAAAAATGACTTTTATGTTTAAGATAAAAATAGTTGCTTAGTGCTTTTTAAACATGGGTGAAATCACTCTGTCATCCATTATATTTTACTGATTAAAGGACTTTGCTGCTTTTGGCAGGAAGCCCCACAGTGTTTGGCACAGATGGCTGCTTCTGTGGCTTCATACAACAGAGCAGCATGGAAATAGCTTTACACACCGCTCATCTAAAAATATTCTGAACATTGCCCTTTTAAAGCAAGTCTTTGTGTCTGTGGGGTTTAATAGATCTGTCTTTGGTGTTGAAATGGTACCTGGTGTCCTCAGCTGCAGTTGCAGCAGCACAGCAGTGCTGTCTGTTGTGCTATGAGGTTTCATTGATTCAACGCTGTAATACTTTATCAGAGATTTTAACAAACGTTGGCTGGATTTCTAACAATTCTCTTAAAGGTAAGCTAAAACACAAGACTGAAAAATAACATGCATGGATTCCTGCAAATGTGCATTTATAATCCTTAGACCTTCCCTTTTATCACATTAGGTCAAAGGTTTCATTAATATGATTTAACATTTATTGCACAAATTAACATAAAATTGCTTTGAAATATTAATATTTGGAAAAACTTATTTTTTTTACATTTATTTGTCAGTGATTTTAAAGAGTTTCTGGATAACACCCATTTTTCTCATAGCGTGGAACAGCCTCTGTTCAGAGAAATAGAATTTGCACCCTACTGGACTGATTGGCTAAAAGCAAAATCAAACACAAATGGAATCCATCCCTGTAACCTCACAGTCATTCATGAGATAATTCACCAAAACTTATTTTAAAATGTTAAAATGGAGACTTTTAATTCCACACCATATTCAGATTACCTCTTATTTTTTCTCTTGTATTTTAGGACATTTATTATAATAATAATAATAATAATAATAATAATAATAATAATAATTATTATTATTATTATTATTATTATTATTATTATTATTATTATTATTATTATTATTATTATTGAATCTCATTCATACTCTGCAGGTGATAGTATAAATATTATTATGATAATGTTTACCGGCTCATTCAAACGTTTCTGTGATTTTTTTTTTTTTCGATTTGATTAGATTTTGTTTTCTGTAAAGCTTCAGGCTGTAGAGACTGATGTCCTCTACCACCCGGTTAATCTGTTAGTTACTGAA